TTTTATAAGGGCAGTAATCCATTCACCAGGGCACAGCTCCTTTAACTTAATTCCCAAAAGGCCCCAACTCTTAATGCTATCACATTGGGTCTTAAGATCCAACATATGAATTTTGGGCAGACACATACATTCAAACCACAGCAATCTCAATAATGAATTCTAATTCCCAGAATATGCAACTCCCCTTCCTGCTCACTATCTTATCTGGCTATCTCATCCTCTGAAATCCAGGTCAGAGGTTCCCTTCTCCTGCACAGTTACTCCTCACTATCCCTCACCATCGCCTAAATGCTCTTACAATCCATGTCTGTTCTTAACCCTTGTATTGTATTGCGATTGTTATCCTATATCTATCTCCTTGAGGGCAGTGACTTGGTATTTTTCTCTCTCTGGCTTCAGTTCTTATCATAGTGCTTACTGGGTAGGCATAAATGTCTGTGACATGAAAAAATGTTCTCAGATGCTAGAAAAGCCTGGAGCAGTTCAAGGACCAGTTTTAGTGTCTGAGAGCAGGCACAACTTGATGGGCTCCCACCAGGTTTCTTGAAACTAGGAATTGGAAGAGCAAATGAAGTATCATTTTAGGAAAAACTAAAATCCAGCCTAATTACAGATTAGAAAAAATTCAAGTTTAGGCCAGGTATGGCGGATCACGCCATTAATCCCTGCACTTTGGGAGGCTAAGGCAGGCAGATCAGTTGAGGTCATGAGTTCAAGACCAGCCTGGCCAACATGGTGAAACCCTGTCTTTACCAAAAATATAAAAATTAGCTGGACATGGTGGCACAAGCCTGTAATCCCACCTACTAGGGAGGCTGAGGGTGGGAAAAACACTTGAATGTGGGAGGCAGAGATTGCATTGAGCAAAGATCACACCACTGCACTCCAGCCTAGGTGACTGAGACCCTGTCTCAAAAAAAAAAAAAATTCAAGTTTATGATCAATAGTTTAAAACCATCAAATGACAGCTGGGTGAGACGGCTCACGCCTGTAATCTTAGCACTTTGGGAGGCCGAGGCGGGTGGATCACTTGAGGTCAGGAGTTTGGTACCAGCCTGGCCAACATGACAAAACCCTGTCTCTACTAAAAATACAAAAATTAACTGGGCATGTTGGCCCATGCCTGTAATCTCACCTACTCAGGAAGCTGAGGCACAAGAATCATTTGAACCCAGGAAGCGGAGGTTGCAGTAAGCCAAGACTGTGCCACCGCACTCCAGCCTGGATGACAGAGCGAGACTTTGTCTCAAAAAATTAAAAAATAAAACTACCAAATGCTGTATGGGTGGGAGAAAACTAAACTATATTTATTACCTTGAAAAGTCCTGACAACCGGCTCCTTAATTTTCAAAGAGATACCATGATTCCCTGACTTAGTATCCTTTAATAGCACTGACCCGGGATCTCTGTGTTCACTTTCCTTAGACCATCCCAGCTATCACTGGGTTTTACTATCTGAAGTTAAATTTAAAATCTATGAATTCCCTAGCCTCCACCCAACGTGTGAAGGATTAAACAGTACCAGGCATCAATATTTATTAACACAAGACAAAGGAAACACATTCAATGAGTTAATAGAACACTGTCCAGCCAGATGTTAAATTTAAAAATGTATATCTAGTCTAACTTCAAATAAATAAAAAAACTTTATACATAATTACACAGTACTGTAGTTTGAATTTGACACGGGTAAATATCTTGACAGAAAGTAAACAAAACCGCACTTAGGACTAAAAAATTATTCTTATATCTTTACAGTCTCTTCCTCTGGACAAATAACATGGCCCATCTACACACAGCTAAACCAGAAATGTCATATGAATGATAAAGAAAAGGCCTATTGTGTATTTGGAGTATTGCAGCTTTTTGCTCCAAATACTCGTGCTTTTACATCAAAGCAAACAACAAAAACAACACTAAGGCATAGATCTTGTTGGAGTTTGAGGATGAGGTGGTAACTCCTCATTGCTTTAGTCTAAAAGATTCCTGGATATTCAAGGAAATAATTTATTTGGCCAAGATATAGAGCACCATGCCTGGGGCAGAGACCTTAGTAGAAAACCTAAGGCCTCGGGCCCTTGTTGAGTCAACAAAAGCATTATGCAAGCATTGCCCAGGGACTAAAGGAGACACACTCATATGACCAAGACAGGCAATGGTCCCTAAACAGCCTGAGGCAACACAACTTCATGAGGAAAGGACTTGGTACTGGGGAGACCTAGCCCTTTATGAGGCAGGAAGTAAAGACTGTGGATTCACTGATGCCAATTAGCATGCTGCTCCTTCCCAGGGTCTCACTGATGCAGAAGATGGCATTAGTACAGCTCTAAGAATTCCTAGGGTCTAGGAATTTTCCTGAGGCAGCCCCTTCCTGATCTACTTCAGTTACTTCTGCTGAGAACCAGAAAAAGGTTCAGAAACCTTCAGACCAATAGATTTCTCTTAACCGAGACAGGGGCTTGTTATTTAGTTTTTTCCTACAGACACAAAAACCCAGACAGAATATGTTCCAGAGGATTGGAAAGGCTGTGTTTCTATTAGTTAATGGCATTTCAGGCCTACCTAAGAATCAGTTCTACCACAAAGGTGTTACTTAATGTGGACTGAGCAAGAGCGCTGTGTCATCAAGAGAACATTTTCTTACTCGAGTCTGTGACAGAGTAGACTGTAAATCTGCAGATGATCCCACAAACACCATCTAAGCAAATGGCTGGGCTCTCCTCTCTCTCCACAGGATGCTTTACCAGAGTTACTGATGAAGCTCCTCAAGGACAGTTCTTAGCCTTCCTTCCTCCATGAGCAGATTCTGGCTTTAGGGGGCATGCAAAAGATCAATAAAGCAGAAAGCAAAAAATAAATCAAGGCCTGAGGAACTACAAAACTAGATAATCAGCCTCTAAGTAACTGGGAGTTGGCCACACTTTGAGATTAACAGAGTAACATATTTGAAGGAATGAGTATAGATCTGCACTGTCCAATATGGTAGCCACTAGTCACATTTGACTAAAGACTTGAAATATGGCAGTGGTTTGAACTCAGATGTGTTTAATACACACTGAATTTCAAAGGCCTAATATGAAAAAAAGTACCTCATTAATAATTTTTATATTGATCCCATGTTGAAATGATAATGTTGAGCTATTGGGTTAAATAAAAGATATTAAAATTAATACCATGGGTTTCTTTTTAATTTTTAATGTGGTTACTAGAAAAATTTAAATTACAGATGTGGCTCTCATTATAGTATTTATAGTGGACAATGCATCTCTAGATGCTTAAACCCTAATCTGTGTTAGTAAGAATTATCAAAGCAACCCACGGAATAGCATCTAACCATAACTTTTAGAACTTGGGGATTATAGAGCTGGACTTATTTATATCAGCTTCAGGATCCCCTGCTTTGTCTAGTGAATCATTAAAAATAGTTTTCAGAAAATTAATTTCCAAATATCAGGCTGTGTTCTCTGCAAACCAAACCATCTATAGACACTGGGATTTCCTGTGTGCCCCAATGTAAGTGCTTTTTTTCTGTCCATCCTAGGACTTCCCTCATCACGTGTAAATTAATTCCATCGAAATGCTGAAAAAGAGATCTGGAACTGGCAAATGTCCTGAGCTCTGCCCTCTGTGGAGGAGGAGTGGGGAAGAAAAGAGGATTATGTGAAGGGACTTACAAAGTGGCTTTTAGTCACAAGACCATGTAAAGGCAGCCCAGAGCACTGCCACTGCAAAGGAGCTGGTCTTTGCATTATAAACCTTATTTTCAGGGTAATTACAAGTCTTAAAAATTGTTTAAAAACATATTTAGTTTACATGATGTTACAGTGGGGTAAATAATATGTAGTATTAAAATAGTCTAAATAAATATTTACACAATAGACCAGAGTGGGTCAAAGAGAACCATTCTGCTTTAACAAGTTAACTCTTTTCACTTTTGAGTATTTTTTAATTTTTAAAAATATTTCTGTTAAGAAAAAAATAATAAGATTCAACTATATTCAAATATATGAAGTATCAGACCAAAGAAAGGAAACCGGGCCAGAGGCCAAACTCAGTCCTGTCTCAGTCTGCTTGGCCTGGGCACCACAGTTATTTCAAAAGAGTTTCCTGCATACGTCAGACTTCCCCGGTTTCAGCATAAGCCTGGCTGCTTTGGCAACCCAGATTGGTTGGTTTTGTGTAGTTACATGGCCTTACAGTTCCATGTGACAGTGGATCCCCACTGCCTTCCTGGCCTATCATTCTTGTTTTTAAACCCCCTGCCCTCACAAACTGGAAGAACAGAGGACACTCTTCAGTTTTCAGAAAAGAGAAGTTATATGGATAAACTGTAGACACAGTTTACAATGGGCCTAGAAAAGAGGAAATCCTAAATTCTTACATAGTCACTCTAATTTTGAAAGATCATTTTAACACTGGGGCCAGAGTCAGTTATTGTGGTTCCTTAGAATAGAGTAGGCTCTGATGAATCTTAGCTTTGTGTTAGCATTTTGATTTTTATTTTTATTTTTTTATTTTATTTTATTTTTTTTGAGACGGAGTTTCACTCATGTTACCCAGGCTGGAGTGCAATGGCGCGATCTCGGCTCACTGCAACCTCCGCCTCCTGGGTTCAGGCAATTCTCCTGCCTCAGCCTCCTGAGGAGCTGGGATTACAGGCACGCGCCACCATGCTCAGCTAATTTTTTGTATTTTTAGTAGAGACGGGGTTTCACCGTGTTGACCAGGATGGTCTCGATCTCTTGACCTCGTGATCCACCCACCTCGGCCTCCCAAAGTGCTGGGATTACAGGCTTGAGCCACCGCGCCCGGCCAGCATTTTGATTTTTAAATTGAGATTTTCAGCTTTTAGAAACAGGCTGAATTCATAGAAGCTTAAGCTGAGTCCGGGAATGTGAGCTTTAAAAACAAACATAGGCAGCTTTAATTTATAAAATACACCAGCCAACAAAGACATAGAACAATGTGCAGCAAAACCTGCAAACAATTTGCGCTTTTTAGTTACCTAATCAATTACACAACATTAAGAGAATATTGAAATTCTCTCAAAGTTGAAATGTTTCTACTGTGGTTGTTGTAACTATACAAGCCAATTCTTCAAATTTCTAGCTGAATTATGTGTATTCTTATTTACATGTTTTAAAACACTGGTCAAAATGTTTTACAGTCAAGAATTATATATATAACGTAATTCTTATATTCAGTGGGTTATCTAATTTGCTTATGGGTGACTGAAAGAAAGCTGAGTAGTTCCATGTTAACAAACCCCACAGAACATCTAGCTACAGCAAAATGGCAAAATACAGTACAGAGTGGGGAACTGTATCACTCAGACTACCCCTTTGATGTGAATTCATTAATTCCCTTACAAAATTCTAAAACGGTATTAGATAAAAATACAAGTATGTACAACAGATGAAAAAAATGCAACATGCATGTAATTGCTTTAGTAACGTGCTGCTCACGCCATGTCAAAGCACATGTCTACCAAACTGTTAACATTTTTTTCATTTGCCATCACAGAATTCCCCTTTCCTGTGTGTTTTATGATTGCAGAATCCCACAGGATGAGATGAAGAATATCATGTAGCCATCTCAGCTTATTTCACATCGTTTGAAAGCCTGCTCCTAGCCACAGGTCTTCTGTCTTTGCAATTCTTCAGAACGGCCCCTTGCAGTCCCCGCAAGGCTTGTTACATGTTATAAGCTACATAGATGGGGTCTAACTGGTCAGCTAGGAAGCTATCACGGAGGTGCATCCTCTGCTTCTCTCCTCTGGAGTTGATCGGGATGACACCTGGGTCCACCACAACCACGACGCCAACGATGAGGTAATGCTCTTCCAGGACCACGTTGGTCACTAATGGGACCAGATCTAGGGCTTCCTGTTCAGAGCCGCACAGTTCCACAACCACCACAAGCAAGTTGGTCCATGTGAACACGGCACTGCAATTTCAATGACAGTTCGTTAACTTGTCGCTACATTTTTCAGTGATCTTTTATACCATCTGTCCCAGACTTACACCCATTTCCCTGCCTTCTCCCCTCGATCCCAACCAGAAGGTCAGCAGTCATGTCTACAATATATGACACCTCTTAACTTTACCTGACAAGACCGAGGGAAAAATTATATATATTTTTTTTTGGTGAAAAAAAAAAAAAAAATATATATATATATATATATATGTGTGTATATATGAGACACCCTGCCCCTGTGAACACAGCTGAGGAGTCATCCAGAATCTCCTGGGAGTCTGAAAGTGAAATTGAAACTCATCGGGCTGGGCACGGTGGCTCAGGCCTATAATCTCAGCACTGTGGGAGGCTGAGACGGGTGGATCACTTGAGGTCTGGAGTTCGAGACCAGCCTGGCCGCCATGGCGAAATGCCATCTCTACTAAAAATACAAAAATTAGCCAGGCGTGGTGGCAGGCACCTGTAGTCCCAGCTACTTCGGAGGCTGAGGCAGGAGAATCATTTGAACCTGGGAGGCAGGGGTTGCAGTGAACCAAGTT